CTCACAGACACCTCCATGACCGTCGAGACACTCACAATAGAGCTCTACACCTCCGATACAATAGATTTCTCCCATACACCTCTCAGACTCCTCTGCAGACTAGACCGAGACTGAGACCGCTAGACTGAGACCGCTAGGTGTCTCGCGGACAACTCCTCCACGGGCAGCACGAGCTCTCCTCGCCGCCGCGGGAGGAGGCGCATCAGCCCGCGGCGCTGCGCCTGCGCAAGCGCGCTGCCACATTCCTCACATGGCACGCCTGATAGCTGGAGGAGAAGGCGCAGCGGCGCCAGCCGAGGATTGGGCCGTCCTCACCCACAGCATGCCACCACGTGATTCGAAGCAAGTCGCCGTCGTACTCGGGCACGTGCTCGCCGTTGAGCGTGGCGTTGTAGTAGGAGGGCTCTTTGCCGGTGCTGGGCGGTCGCTTGTTGCTTTTGTAGTGGCGCACGAGCTGCTGCAGCGTGCCGTCAGGACGAACGCGCCAGATGAGGTCGAACGCTTCGCACGGATGGCTCTGCAAGCGGATGTCCCACTGTTGCAGAACGTCTCTCTGCACGAGCTTGGCGATGGCGGCGACGAAAAGCAGCATGTTGGAGCCGCCAAGTACGTGGACCCATTGCCCCTTCATCACTTGGGCCACCTCTTGGCGCGTGGGGACAGCCACGTAGCAGCCGGCGCTGGGGACCCAGGTCTGGCCCACGAACGCTCCCTGTGCCTCCGCGCCCTTGTCACAACGCGGCTTGAGCTGGCGGTGTTTCACGTCGACGAGGTCTGTCGCGAGGTCGTCGCAGTGGTACGCCGGAGCTGCTAGTTTTTTCGCAGGTGCAGCCGTTGCAGGTGCAGGCGTCGGAGCTGGTGTCGGCGCTGGAGCTGGCACTGGAGCTGGCACTGGTGCGGAGGCGGGACGGGACGAATGCGATCCGTGAAAGTGTATCTGGATGCGGTCCTTGTCTCTCAGGTGTATCTCGATGCGCTTATTCCTCAAAGTTTTTTCTTGTGGCGCCACAAGAATCACGTCAAGAGCCCACCGACTGCCAGCAGCAATGAAGGCCGCCGTTGCAGCGGCGAGCATTGCCACCCCGACAATCGTGATAATGGCGATGCGGCGAGCGGAAGGCACGCGTCGGACGTCGAGGGCTCTCCACGAGCAAGCCCCTTCGCCGGTAGCGCTGGCCGAGGCAGGTGTGGCGAAGGTTTGCATGTGTACGGCGGCGACCCCTCCGGCGCTTGTCGTTGACGGCATAATTCAGGATGATGAGTTTGCTCATCCCGGAGTGGTTCGACTCCACACATTCTCCCAGGAAGCTAAAAGTACGTACACAAATCCGAGACGGTGACGGGTACTGTCTCGGCGGTCTCAGGCCCAGTGAGGTAGTGCGCCAGACCTTCTCGGATCCTGCTGAACAAGATCCTCTTGTAGCTCGATCGATCGGTCACACCGCCATCACCGTCGAGGAGAGGGGGGACGATACTGCTTCTGCAGCGTGCACCTCGATCCTGTACCGTGTTTGTTATGACCCCCCCCCAAGAACACACCAGCGAGGGAGGGCGAGACGATCGATCGAGC